TCTTTAGTTTAAAATCTTGTACAAAGGAAATATGGGATCTTCATTCAGCTATAAAAATAATTAATATAATTACTAATAATTGGTGTAGATATATCATTGAAAGTAATAAAAAAGAATAGGGCCTAAAAGACAACAAGTTAGGCAATACTCATACTGAATTAATCACTAGCCATATAACAGTATTAGTTTTGAAAATAAAGACGTACCAGTGTTTCTACTATATAGGCTAAAACAAATAATAAAATTATTTTTCCAGAATCAATTCAGAAACTTTTTAATATAATTACAATCAATTACCGTATAGTCCTGAAAATAAGCACTATGTAATATATATGAATTTATCAGTATATACGTGACTAATAATATAATAAATTCCATGTGACAAATAAATAAATTATTATAAAAGGAGCGTGTTACAGGGTGCTTATTTTCAGGACTATACAGTAATAAATACTAAATCATTTTTATTTTTTTTGTGTTTCTCTAGCCAGCTTTTTTTATAAACAGGTTTGGCATAATCTGTACAAAAATTAGTCTGGAAATAGGTCAGCTTATTACAGAATATGTATTTTTTTTTGAGTGGTGACTTATAATGTCTGACACATCTAATCTTGTATAAGCATCTTTTTCTGCAGAACAACTCATCTTTTTTGATATATTGACAAAACTAAGATATTAAATTAGAAGGGATCTTTTTAGAGTTCTCTGAATTAGCTGTATTTCTACCAAAGATCATAGTATTTCTTTTTGAAAAAGTTATTAAGATTAATATATATTAAACTTTCCTTTATTTTTTATTATATATAGATCAGATAAATATTTGAAAATATGGTACATGTCTTCTAAAGAAATGGAAATTATTTTTTATTTTAAAGATTTGATTTTCTTAATATACATATATCAAAAAAATTCTACTAATCTACTTATTATTAACATAGTTACTAAAATAACTATCCTAAAGACCTGAAAATCTAAAGCTAATAATTTTGTGTTAGTCTTAAAGCAATTCTTAGAAAAGCATAATTTGTCAGCTGATTTCACCTCAGAATAATTAAGCAAATATACTCCTGAACTTGATACTTTACTTTCTAATTAGATAGCTTGCAGGTGTATTAAAGTTATTCTTATCAACAGTATTAATAATAGATATTTATTTAATAAAGAGAAGATAGATGCTTTCATGCTAAATAAAAGAAAGAAAAACTTCACCATAGAGGGAAGGGTAGAATTTTGCGTTACAGCTGATAATATTATGAATATTTTTACTTATCATTTAGATTTAAGTCTAAAAAATAAAGATGAAAATAAAATTATTATCAGTGTTTCACATCAGTCAACATTCTGTGTAAAGTTAGCAGAAGGTGATGTAGATCCTGTAATTATTGAAGAATTTGCTAAAAATAAGAACCTTATTCAAGATTCTAATAAAATTCAGAAAGAACAAATTAAAAAATGAATGGCTAATCTAAATAGAATTCCCATACATTTCTTCTTAATAATGTGAGTAAAAAGATTCAGAATATGAATATTTTCAAAATTCCTACTAAAGAGAATCTTGCAGATGTAATAGTGATATTGAGTATGAGACCTGCAGAAGTAAAATCTCTTCAGATCAATATCTATAAACTGGACTCTTTGAATATTCTATCATAATATAAAGAGAGCTATTCTTGGTATTATACTAACTATTTAAAGAACAGAAAAGAAAAGAAGAAGAATCCTGATCCTCGACCATTTCTTTTTATGAAAAAGAATTCAAAACACATAAGAGAATTGCTTACTTGAATTCAAGATACAATTAAGGCTAAAAAATTATCTGACTCTGTCTTTACTAAAAGTAGAACACATAATGCTTGACCATTTAATGAATTCTTAAAATAAGAACCTTATAAAATCATACCTAAAAAATTAAGAGATTATGAAAATAAACACACTTTCAGAATTTATAGTAATAAGAACCTAACTTCTCAGCATCTTAAACTACTTTTAAGAATTGCATTAAGGTAAGAATCTAACTACCTTGATGCAGATGATAATTATATTATAGGCAATATAAAATTTAGGAAGTCTTCTTCTGAAAGTGAGAGTCTAAAACTCTAAATATAGGCTTCTTCACTTGCGCTTTAGCCTAATCCAAAAAAGTCTCAAACTATAGATATGAATTCAATGTTAGCTAAAATTCAGAAATAAATGCCAATCTGGAGTAGACTGATAGGTGATTTGCATAATCGCATAATTTTCCTGAAAGTGCTTTGCTATTTTTTTGTTTGAGGCAAAATATAATATATATAAAATATCACAAAAATAATAGCTGATCAAAATCTTTTATCTGATATATCTAATGAGCAAGAAGTTATTAGATTAGCCTAGATATTTAAACTAAATAAGCAAAATTTAGAAGTATATACTGCACTTTCTGGTAAAAATAGAACACTAAAGAAACAATTAGAAGATTATTATTTCTAATATAATACTTTAGAAAAGAGGGTAAAAGATTAGAGAGAGATGTAAAGTCCTTAGAAACTGAATTAGAAGATCTGAATGAATATGTAGAATTGAATGAATGTGTAGATATAGAGACCATAATCGATTTAATACAAAAAAAAGTTCCCTGTATAATTTCTAAAAAAGGTAAGAGTTCTTCCTATTTATTTAAGTCTTCTGAAAAATCTGATTTAATCAAGACAATTATGATAAGAGAAAATGAAGCTATCCCTTATAAGCAATGAAGAAAGGTATAATCAAAAAAGATTAAACAGTTGGTGATTTAAAATGGGTCAAGCAGAGGATTCAAAGAATTAGATGTTGAATAGAGATTTATTTTTGAATATTATATACATCATAATAAAATAGTATTCGTAAATTGTGTAGTCGAAGAAAATATTTATATTGAGACATCAATCAATATGTGTATTAATGTAAATTGCATTAGCTAAAAACATATTAGTGAATTAGGAATTACATATTACAGTGAAAGCAATAGCATTACAACTCCAGATACATCTTATTCCATATTAGGAAAAGTCAATCTACATATTGATTTTGAAGATAGCGAGAAGCATAAAAGTACACCTATTAAATTCATAATTTTTGAATCAGATTGGCCTGATTATTATTCTGATTTAACCTTAAGAATACTGTAGTTATGAAAAAATAATGCAAATTTTGATATGCATAATTCATTACTAATCATAAATAATAATTTTACAATCTCATTCAAAAAAGTAGACTATATTTTGATATTATCTGATAGTTAAATCTGAGCTACGACTGATTTTTCCAGTCTAACCTATAGTTTGAAATAATGATTATTAGTCTGAAAGATTTTTTGCTGAGCTATAGATTGTGCGATAAAAAAAATAAGTAGATCATTAATCAGGTCTTGTGTAATATTAATTTTTACATATATATTTGAAAAAGAAAAACATATTAACTTTTATTCTTTATTTTTTTCCTATATAAACATGAGAAAAATATGAAAGGAGGTCTAGTTTAACATAGGATCTACCATAAAAATAAATACTAATGGCAAAAGCATATGCTATAAAAGGCTAAGGATTTTAAAATTTTGAGATTGCTAAGCATAAAGCCTACTATATCTTGTAGAGTAGATCTTCATGTAAAAAGGTTTGAAAATTTCATTTACATATGCTTTTGCTTTAGTATCTTCAGCCATAGAACTCTTAGCATCAGATAACAATACTAATAATGTTTCATACCTTCTTAACTTTTTTCCAGCAAGATATAAAGCATGTAAAAGTATATAAAAGTTCAGCTAACTTTTCGCAAAAATATTTCTAGAAAAAATAATATAAAATAAGATATGTGTTATATAATTAGATATTATGTATATATGAGAATAAGTTTTCTTCACTATAGTTTCTTACAATTAGAAAATGAAAATAATTCACAAGAGTATTATCAATCTTAAGTGTTGTCTTCAGGATGATGAGGATAAAATAACTTACATAATCTCACCCTATAAGAAAGATAAGGTCGCATTTCTCAAATTTGCTATTAAAACTTTATTAGTAAATCAAGGTTACCAAGCTCTCTTTCTGGCTTCAACCTCTACATTAATAATTCTAAGAAAGATAAACTTATGGAATTAACTGAAGAGATCTCTAAATATTTTGATAAGTCTCTTGTTTTAGATTAAATTTATATTCTCATAAAATCTAAGAATAAATAGTATTTTTTTTTATTCATATCATATAGCAATATAGTCACAATTTTATGTATTATAAGTCAGCTTCTAGCAATATTTTTATTTCATAAATAAAGTATTATTTTATCAAATGTATATAAGAAATAGATCACATGTAATGATATAGGACTATAAATCTAACATTTTTATCAGAATTAGTTTAGTGTTTAAGTAATAAGTGTGAAAAGTCTTTACAGTTAAGAAGATGCAGTGATTAGACGATTATTGCACCTATAATACAATGTGATTGATCAGTCTTTTATGAAATAGAATAATTTCTCACATATAGTCTGCCTCAGTATTTTTTTCACAAATAAAATTATTTTTTGTTCTTGTCCTCATATACACTAGTTTGTATTAATAATATTTTGTAAAAAATATTATAAAAGCTAAAAACATATCTATCACTTTATTCTGTCTTGTTAAAGGAAATACATCTACAAATAATTTTTCTGTTAAAATAAGTGGAAATAAACTTATTATGAACTAAAAAAAACTATCAAGACAAAAAAATAAAATAACTTCATTAATGTAAATGCAGACAAGCTCAAGCTATGGAAAGTGCCAATCTCTGATGATCATATTGATCCCTTAATTCATAATCCGTATATAAAATAGAGATCAGTATATATGATAATTAGGGTTAATACACTTAATTATTTTAGAGTCTTTTAGAATCTCTTACTTTAACATATTAAAATAATGAGCAAAAATAAAGAATACGCTGTAACACTTATTTCTGCTGATCAAATTGTAGAAAATTTACATTTTGGACCATTTTGTTATAATTGGTGGCTCATACAACCAAATAATAAAACTTTTACATATACTTTTCTCCTTTCAATTCAATTAGAAATGAAAACTTTTACAATTTTGAATAACTGTAACTTTATAATTACAGTTGTAAAAGGATGTACTGAACATCCTAACTCTTCCAGATTTTTTTGTTTTTTTGAAGAAAATCAGTCAAGTATATACAATTCTTCAACAGAAGTTATTAACCCTACTATAAAGAAGTATTTTGTTCAAATGTCAAGTTTCCTAGACCAATAGTTATGGTTTTGATAATTCAAATATTGTAGAGAAATTACTTAGTGATATTATTTTTTATCCATATATATTCAGTTTAGAAAAACTAAAAATATTTATGTTAGGAATAGGAAAATTAAAGAAACCAGAATGAAATTATGCAGGAGATGAATATAAATCTATTTTTTAATATAGTTCTAATAATAAAAAGTTAATTTTTGTTTAGAAGATAGGATATGAAAAATGTACAGTTCAAATATTTATTTACAATACTTTAGTAAAACATTATAGCGCTAGTGATCCTAATAAAATTTGGTTAGATATTGGTAAATTTTCAAACTATACTGAAAAAGAACTTTTTGGATTAGAACATTCATATACACAATTTTATATTGAATAAGTACAAATTCCTTCTTATATAGTGTCACATTGGACTTCTAAAGGAGTTTTAGAAGTCTTTATGAGTATCATTTGAAAAGGAGAACCCTATATGGAATTAGGTGGTGTGACTTTTTTGATAAATAGTTAAATGAAGAGAGCAGTATTATAGAATTACAAGGAGCTATTTTAGATTTGTATCTATATAACTATGAAATTAGTATTAAAAATAGCATGCTTAGAAAGCATTTATTCAAAATGCAGGATGTACTAATATCACCCCTTTTGAAAAAGAAAACTCTAAGATAAATAATCAAACTTTATTATTTAAAACATTCTTTTATTGATTATTTTTATTATTATTTTTCTAGTTTGAATTTTAATCAAGAGCACATAATGCACAAGTTGATAACGCAATATTACAAATGCTATATAAATCTGGATTTCTCCAACCAAACCCACACTTAGAAAACCTTACTTATATATTTTGACAAGTATTTCATGATGCACTAGAAGGTGTAGATAGAGGTCCAAATGGTCAAAGACAAATCCTTTCAATTATTACTATACGATTTACATATCAAGAGCTAAAATCAAAATTAGGGGTTAATTTATAAAAATAATATTGATTATTAAAAAGACATTGAATTAAATAAAAGCATAATTTTAAAATCTTACAGGTTGCTGCAAATACAGTATCAAAAGCCTGATAATATGCATATATTAATAGACCGGATGCATCACAAATATAAAAACCAACTATTACAATAAACAAACTAGGACAAAAAAAGAACAATTAGACCAATTTTTTTCTGACAAGGCTAATATAATAATGAGCTCATATAAAATAGATGCTATTACACAAGAACTAGTTCATTATCTCAAAAATACAAAAATGGAATTATGGAAAAAATTTCAAGAAAATTATTCTGATAGAGTAAAAAGAACAACCTTTTATAAATATTTACAAAGTAATAGATATATTTATTGTAAGAATTTGAGCAGTTTTTGTTCAATATGCAATACATATAGCTATGAAACATTTGATGAACTTATCAAATTTATTTAACATTACATTAGCAATCTTCATATTCAGATAATATTCTCTATAATTTTGTAAAAAAAAATTATTTTTTACTAATAATTTTTTTTTTTAGAATCAACTAATAGATCAAGGAAAATAATTACAATGATATTTTAAAAGAGAATATGAATCACATTTGACAGTAAATTCTAATGGTAAAACAATATATAATCAATGTATCAACTATTGCCTTCTTTTTGCATTTGATACATGTAATGAATAATATACTCATACATGTTCAGATTGTAATATTATATTTTAATTTTTTATTGATATTAAAAAAAATACTTCAAATGATATATATGAAGAAATTCATGAATTGCGAGATTAAATTTTCTATTATTTGAGTCATTAAACATGTAAAATATATCTAAATGCTCAAGTTAATGCAAATTTATTAGATTTAAATAAAAAAGGTGCTATAATAATAGTAGATTACAAGATGAAAATTTTACTTAAAAGTTTCAGAGAAACTAAGAATGCATTTTTTAGAAAAAAAGGTTGGACATTACATTCAACTCTTGTATATACATAAAATCTGATCGCTAACTAGATATTCAAGCATATGATCACTGGTCAGCTAATTCATGTCAAGATGCATAGTTTACTGCATCATCCTTGCATGCAGTAATTGAGTCACTTGAAATTAAATCAGAATAGATTACCTTTATTTCTGATAATGGGCCGCACTATCATAATGCAGATCTAATGTTAATTTTAGGACATTGAAATGAATGGTATAATATTACGGTAAAAAATGGATTTTTTTAGAAGCAGGCAAAGCAAAAACTTCGATAGATTTCTACTATGCTCAGGTATATATTGACTTGTCAAATAAATTAGAAAAATTATTATTTGATTTACCAATTTTTAAAATAGATTTCCCATGCAATAAATCATCATGTTCAATTAAGATTTGATATTGGTGAAGGCATAGATATAGAAAATGTTATTAAAGAAATTTGTGGTATTTCAGTAGCACATTTGATGCCTGAAAGAAAAAAAGATATAATATTTTTTTTATATAAAAAATCAAATTTAGTATAATATAATAAAAAAAAATTTATTATATTTAGAATTAAAACAAAAAAAAAATTTAATACCTGGAAATTCTAATTGGAATGAATAGTTCTGGCCAACAGAAGGTGAAAATGCGAGATTTATTCAGGCTCATGCAATGCCTAATATTGGAAAATGGAATAATTTCGAACCAGCAAAAATAGCAAAATTTGAAAAATGGATTCATGAGAAACCCAATCCTCAAGTTTCAAATCATTCAACTTTGACTTCTGATTAGAATGTACCGTTACCATATGAATCAAGTATGTAAAAAAAAATTAATTTGAAAATTGATTATAATAATCTTTACACTTGATTTTTTTAAGATAGAAGTCAATACAAGCCATCTTACTATTGAAGAACTAAAACAAATGTTAAAAGATTATGATATTGATACAATAGATATAAACAATAGAGTTATATTAGCAGAAATTTTACAAAATATATTGGATAATAAGACATTAGAGTAAAATAAAGGTAGGTATTTTTGATTATAAAATTGTAATTATATTTGCTTAGACTAATCTTTTTTTTGAACCAAGATGCATCAAATACCAAAACCACTAACAATGATTTAGATTCAACTTATACTTTGGATTTTGTATTACCAAGTAGCTGGATTTTGAAAAAAAGACAGAAATTTGATAAAAAAGGAGGAGAAAAATGAATAAACAAACATGTAATTCCATATCTTAAAGCATATTTTTTGGCTAAAGATGTAAATAAAAGTGAAAAATATATAGCTCAAGAGATGTATAATGAGCTAAAAGAATTAGAAAAAGATGGAATTTTAGAAGAGGAAGAAATTCTAAAAGTTTTCACAATTGGTAATTGGATAACTCGATATGCATAAGCCCATCATAAAATACAAGCTCAACAATCCTTAGCACAGGTTAATAGTATATTAAAAACTTTAAAATTTTGATAAATAAATATAAAAATATATTATTTTCATAAATAAAAATTTGAAATATTGAAATTGCAAATTTACTCGTCATATTTATAGGCAGGAATCTGACGATATAGCAAATAAAAGTTTAAAATTTTATTTAAAATATAGCGTGAAAATACAAAAAAAAATATGCATATGATATTCTATTATTAGCAGATTTAATATGATGTTTATGTTGTACAAAATGATAGTTCTAACTTAATTCAAAAAAGGCTAATTAGGACTTATTTACTATATAAATATATAATCAGCATCTCAAATTGAAATAGTAGTTTTCTCTACTCTGCACGTAGATTACGAATTAAGTAATCTTTTTATTTGAGAATAGTAATGAGCTATTAGCAATAAGAAAGTTTTCGAAATACTTCTCTAACTCATCTTTTGAAAAATATATTCATATCATAGTCTCTCCGTTAGAGACCACTATCACTTCAAGCGAAGTATTGAAATTAAGGAAACAACTTGCCTCATTGCAGATATTACTCAATAAATCTGAATATGATACGTATAGTAGAGGAAAGAGTTGAAAACTTCATTGAGACCTAAACTAATTATTGCTTATTTTTGTAGAGTTCAATGTTATCGTTAGTCTAAAATGAATGAATAGATTCAAGTGAATATAGAAGAAGATACTCTTGAAGGCCTTAAAAATTTTATGCGTGAAATGAATCTTAGGTTGCTAGCACTTAAAAATTATAAAACAATACTAAACTTTACATATAAAGTAAAGATATATTCATCTCAGAATAATTAAAATTTCAGCAAAATGCTCTGGCAATTCGTATTGAAGAACAATTTTAGGCTTGTCATATCTATAGAGATTCTCTTAAAAGCTTTTATAGATTAGATATTTCTAAAAATGTATTAGTTTTACAGACTTATGACCTATCAATATCAGTATTCTCACCTTTCACTTGCAGATACAAAGACCTAAAAAATGATTCTTCTCAAGCAATACTTAAACATCTTATAGCTGAATTAGAGACCTGTCTCGAATCTATTTCAATTAATAAGAATAAAGCATCAAAATCACAATATGTTTGTTTATATCTTATTACTGGAATAAATCTACATACAGAGGGTAGACAAAAGTATCCGCACACCCTCCATAACGTGAATTAATGCTAGTAAAATCATATGACTGCAATAACAAATTACGTTTACATGATACTTAAGTGTTTATTTATATTATAAAAATAAAAAGAATAACAATTTATTTTTTTTTAATAAATTTTT